TGACAGTTGTTCAAGCAGATCTTTCTGCAGCCCATTAGCGGCCGCTGTCAACTGACAAAACTGTAGCAGGACAAGGATGGGGGTGGCTACCTAGTGAGTAGATGCAAGCAATCGACGAAAACCAGGGACTGTGGAGGAAATGGTGCGCTAATAAACAAGTAGGGTCCTTCACGTGCTGTTGTAGCAGTTTTTCAAGTCCCCCTTTCTCCAGCTGTGTTTTGTCGATCGATGGCCAGCATCACCGTTGACAGGCCGTTGACACACGGCCACCCCGCCGGCAAGAACTGGAGCACCTCCTGTCTAGCTGCAGTGACTCCCGGCTGCCCTCACAAACTTCCGTCAATCCCCGCGCGTCAGACGACCGGGCTTGATACTCGTGAGACCTTGTGAGTATGTGCCTCCCTACTCCTCCCCTAATCTTTTCAATCACATGACCAACACTCAGCCAGTCACCCCCTGCTGCTAACGCAGACATTAACGACCGCGTAAACAATAAACCGCGACTGACGCTCTCCGGGAACGGATGCTTAGTTTTGTCTCACGCAAACGGCCGAATCACGGACACCTGCCCTGTGTACAGAATAAATCTGTTCTTACAGCTCCCTGATTCCTGGCATAAGACGCAACGAAATTATTAAGTGTAGTTTAAGTTAATCTCCCATCCTTGACCGCCACGCCATAGGGTGCAGAAAAACGGTACAAGCAGGATCGTCAAAACTTACCGAAAATTTGGATGGAATTAACAGGGCGATGCAAAGCACAATTCGAAATTATTTCATGGCTACCTTCGAGGTAGTACTAGGAACCGAGAATGGGGAAACTGACAAAAAATAGACTTGAGTATTTTTCACGTTCCTGTCCGACGTTTCACCCAAACAAGGCAGGGTTCTTTCCTCTAACTTCGGATTGTGTGCTGATTCCAGTCCTAAATAGTATCCCTCTTGTTCAGATCTTATTTAAAACGACTGGAAGTACTGGTTAAAGCTTGCCAGCGAACTTTCAGTACATCAGCAAATGCTTCTTTAAAGTCCATCTGATACTGGCCCACTTCTCTTAAGTTGACAACGGACGCACATTACGCGCCGCTATAAAAGTGGGGCCAGGAGTCGTCGGCAAATAACAGGCTTGTGAACTTGAAACGCAGAGCGAATTGATGTTGGACTCCAGCACTCGGAGATTGGATCGCGATACAAACAGCCCTTATTGATATTCGAATAGACTACGACACTATATCACGTCGGCGACTGTTGTATGATATGGAGGCAATGTGGATCAAGAGGAAAATGCCCCAGATGGTTCGCAAAACTCCTCATCGGCCGTCTCCAGGCGGTCTTCATCGAGCAGAAGAAATCTAATCTTGTAACGATTGAGAGTGGTGTTCCCCAGGGCTCAGTACTGAGGCCCGTTTGCTCCTGATATAAGTTAACGATTACGCAAGATAAATGGCATGTGGCAATGCCTGGAAGCAATATGAGGACTTTAGATGCCACCCGTCACGCTATTGACAAAAAATAGCCTGTAAGCGCACCTAAACCCGCTCGAGGCCAGACCAGATCATTGACTTCCGTAATTCAGTGTCGGTATATGGGCCAAAACGTTTTTAGTTAACTTAGGCAGATGCACCGATAAAAACAACTACGTCGTCAACGATACACCTTCGAGCGGCGTGTAAGTCCGGAAAGACATCAGTATGTTGCTATCTAACTCCTTGAGACGGTTCGTCCATTTTTCAAAGTCCTTTTACGCGCCATAAGGGATGACCGTGTGGATTTTTTTCATGAACACCAATGCTTGAAGACCTTTGGAACATTTGTGCGACCGCATTTGCAGCTCGCCATCCAGGCCTGGAGACTTCCGACGATCCAAGTCAAACGGGATCACACGGAGAGGTTACTAAAATACCTAGGGCCCAAAACACACTGTCACGTACAATCTGGTCAAGAGATGGCAAGTAGTACTCTTCACTGGATCAGACGTGCATTTAAAATATTTCCTCCCGAACTCCTCGACAGACAGGTGCAACGCAGAGCGACGAAGATGGCCGACGATCTAAAGCATTTGTCTTATCAGGAGAGGCTGAATTTGCCTGGCTTATTCCCTCCCTCTTATAGACAAATAACCTGCAGTCTACTCTGGACGTTCCGGATTGTCCGAGGCCAGGGTTGCTCATTAAGAACGGAGGACTTCTTTGAGTTCGCCCGTACAAACCAACTACGCGGCCATGTCTACAAAGTGCAGAATGAGCGCACACGGTTAGACCGTGGACGGTTTTCATTCAGCCAGCGGGTTGTCCGACCGTGGAACTTGCTTCCAAGCGAGATGGTGACGGCTGACACAATATGCATGTTTAAAAGAAAACTTGTTCGCCTAATTTTTGGCAGGTATCGTCTTTTACAGCATGACTACCCACAGCCAATTCTTTAAAACACCGTCATATACAATTCCTTCGCAATAACTTACAGTGATCTGATGCACTTCCTTATGACTACGACTGAACTGTGACTCGACCACATTATAAATGCCTGCAATTTTATTTTTGAATGCGAATCTGCGAAAGCACTGTACATAAATAGGGCCATCAAGGGCTCTGCCGCTAACCATCAAAATATTTATATATATGCATATATGCATACATATAGATGTGATCTCTTTGCTTGGAATTATAGGAAAATACGGGAAGACACTCAGTGCATGCTGAACGAGGCAGGCTGAACTCTAACCTTAAAGAACTCCTTCGAATTCCATACTACAACTAACTTTCGATGTCATCCCCTACTAACAGCGTCTACAAATGCTGTGCAAGGAATGGCGTGGTCATGCAAGGTAGGTATATAACTACAGCTAGAAAGTACCCAATCAGGTTAAAGGATCGAATTCTAAATCCTTCAGCAGACTGCTCCCACCATTCCACCCTAATGTTAAGTCCCAGTCGTCTCCAACTAAACACGGAGAACCAAAATCCTCCCCACGTCCGAATTTCAAGGCGTCCAAACGGCGTCGCTGTAGGGAGGCATATCTATGGAGTATAAAAACGACGGTCTGCCGTAAGGCGACTAACACTAGGTGCATCCTCCACTTCAGAAGCAACCACCCTGTCGGTCACAAATGCAGTCATGTCAGGATCCTTTTCTACCTCGTCCAAAAACACTGCAGCGGCGACAATGAGAGGAAGGGGATGAAGTACCTACGTACCCTATTTGAAGTCAAGGGTTACTCGAAGTCGTTCATGCGCAAGCGTCTCAGGAGGCCCCACTCTGTGCAGTCGAGCGAGGAGAAGCCAAAGTTCTTGATCTCGATCCCCCTACGTAAAGAATGTTTCAGAGGCGACGTCAAGAATCGTGGAAACTTTTGAGATTGGCTTGGCTCATAAACTGGCATTAACAATCAGAAGGCAGATTATGAGGCCCAAATACCCGCTGCCAATGACAGAAAAAGTATCAGTGGTCTACAGCATACCATGATAAGATTGGGCTGCAAGGTGTGTTGATGAAACGGGCTAACGCCTCGGCAGACGATTGCACGAACGCTAGCTTGGAGTTAACCGCAAGGGTGAGCTGTTGCTGGTCTATTGCCGCACACGACAGCAGAACCGCAGTTTCGCCGTCGAGAAAACGAGGGTGATCGGCCAAGCCAGTGAAAACATGGTCAGACCGACGCTGGAAATTTGATCATCAACTGGCATGCTTAACCGAGCCATAGATCTGCATCCCGCCCACTTGGCGCTCCTCACAAGGCTCGAGTCAGTCTAGACAGGGCCAGTAGGACGGGTGATACAAGTCACACGGGGCCGACTGCCGACGCTCGCGGAGAAAAGAGGAGGCACCGATCGGGAGTCACGTGGCCGGTGTGACACACTTCCTCGAGGACGTACCCGCGTGGCCGAGAACACCGCACCTGATCAACAAGAACTGACCAGTCCTCTGTCTGACGAGAGGGAGGCCGACGAGCACGCTGACTTAGCGGCAGGCATGAAATTGGGAAGGTAATGCACCCCACGAAGGTCCGGCTATGGTCGAAATCAGAGATGCCTGAATCAGCCAACAGCAGACAAGCTAGCCAACGTACGTGCGTTGAGCACGGCTATAGTGCGGGGCAGGCGGCAAGGCTGAGTAAATCAAGGCCAGCAGGAAAATCCGGCGAATGGCTCCGACGATGGAAAGAAGAGGGTTCCCGAGCCGTCAGTATGAATACAACCTGGGCAACGGCAGGGTGCAGGATTCCAACTAACTATAGGTAGCCTGTGGATCGTACTGTATACGTTAGCTATATGGGGTCCTAAATCATACCGTCACCTTTTCTTGCATTCCTGACTAAAATCAGCCTTACCAGCAACGGTTAACTCATATTCCCTTCATCCTTTTAAATCGCTCTTGTCTGGTTTTTTAATTATCGCACTTACTTTGGTCGCCATGCGACAGCGCAAGACTTCCGGCAGGAATTTAATCATTTTCTGATTTTCGCGTCCTGCCTGCTCTCCGTCCTGCCTTTTGTTCCACCAAATAAAACCTTCTATATAACAATTCCCGTATGACACGGTCCACAGGCCACCTGAAATTAGTTGGGGTCATACACCCTACCGTTGCCGCAACCTTCGGAGGGTGATAAACACGACAGATGTATCTGGAACTCGAATCATCACGTAAAAGTAAGATAAAACTGCCAGGAAATTAATCGGTGGGGTCCTGTGGCTCAGCTGTTTGGAGCGTTGGTTGTGCTCAAGCCTTGCCCTTGCAGTCGTGAGTTCGAATCCCACCGAGTTTTTCATATTTGAATCAAGTGAATTAACAGCAAAAACATCGGAGATATGAATGGCCACTGTTGCCTAATTAGCCGCAATCAGTCGCTCTGCGACATGCCTGCCCAGCAGATGAGAAAAAACCCGGGTCGGGTAGTTAGTAGGGCAAACTTCAAAATTTTGTATTTCGGCGAAAAATAAAAAACGCTACATACGCCATTCAAGGGCGAGAATGACTGCAAAAGAGTAAAAACAGACAAGTTAGTCACCGAACGGAGGAGAGTATAGACTGTCCAAAGAACCGACGCAAGTCCACCTTTCGCGTGTTCGGCACATAGCGAATGGTGACAGAAATACGGGTTTTGCGGGCAAGGCACCCTGTCAACGGTTGAGGGCAGCTCTGGTGATTGAAAATCAGTTTTTTCGGGCTCTGCTCCTCCTCATTCGCCAGCGTAGGTGCTTGTGCTGCTGCTGCAGAATCGCCTGCAGGACCGGAGGGAAGAACATCCGACTGGAGTTCCTCGATGCCGTGCAAGTAGTACGTGTAGAGCAGGTTGCCGACCATGTTCAGACTGCGAGGCATTAGAAGGGCGGAGCCCACATACCGATCGGAGAGTGCAGCACTCTGTAGAAAAGTGCCAGAAACATGTCAATAGGTCGGTCGATAAAAGGCATGTCGGAGGTCATTGAGGGACACCCAGACGGCATCCATAAAGACAAAACATCATCCCAATTCACTGCACTACTAGTCCCAATAACAGGGGGAGGTGAGGATCGGAGGATTTCACTGTGCCTTGGAATTGAAGGTCAACAGCCCACGGGGGCACTCTCATGGCTACTGGCAGTCAACACTCCGGAAGTGTTAACGGTTAAACACAGGGACGTTTGAATGGCCATTTCTCGGTTACTGGCCGTCGTCAACCGACCACACCCCAATTGCAAGTGCATCGAGGTTGGAATCCGAAAAGGGTGATAACTAAACAAGGCCGTCACTGACGCACCACGGGCTTGTGTCGAGTTCACCGAGAGCAGGAATAATCAGTATTTGTCTCGATGTGCACTCAACAAAGGTCCGGAAGGCATAGTGTCGCGCTGACTACAACATTTAGACATTTTACACAGGACCGAGTACTTCAGTGAGTCTTCAAAAAACCGACTAACGAAGAACAGAATTAAAACTCAGTTCTTCCACGACGGCGTGCTGGCTTTTGGCCGAGAATTTTCCCAGCTACTTATACCAACCATAACAAAAACAAACCATTACATCGGCCCTAGGTTTTGGAGGCCAACAAGCCTAATCCTCGGGGGATGGAGTGAAACCATGTTCCAGAATGCTTAAAGACGGTGCCGACTGACTTTTAATAATAAAGCATTGGTCAGCTATCTGCAGTTTGCAGGGAAATGGGCATCACTAGTTCGAGATATCGTCTTCCGTGAGCAAAGAAATTACTTCCAGGAAGAGGGGGCTAAGTTAACCTGGCGTTTCAGTTTCTCCATCGAAATCATCATCAGGGAGCAGCAGACAAAGATAGCAGGATGCATAGCGAGCACAGTATTCATATGACTCGTTTTTCATGCAACTGACAGTCCAAACATCGCGAACGACATCGTGTGTCACACAGAGTAGGCACGGGATGGTGACTCGCACGTAAACTAGTTTATGAGACGGACTTGCACAGCATTTACCGCACTCTACCCTTCCTCACCCACCAGGCTCCGATGCCAAGACGACCGAATCAAAACTCATTTCTCTCACGACAGTATGCTGACTTTTGGCCGAGAATCTGTTCAGCCACCTAGACCAACCATAAAAAGGATAAATCATTGCATCGTCCCAACGTTTCGGAGGCCAACAAGTCGGAGGATAGGACGAACACGCGTTCCAGAATCCTTAAAGACGGCGCCAACTAACTATCCATAAAAGATAAATAAATAAACCGTTATTGCCCCCGCGATCGTGTCTCCTTCACAAAACCCGTTATTCGTCCGTTTGTAGCTTGCAGGGAGTTGAGCACCATTCGTATGGCAGATCATCTTCTGAGAGGGAACAGATACAAACATCAGTGACAGTAGAAAATACTACCAACTTATTGACCAGGTTTTTGGTGAGTCCTCGGTAATTATTGACTATTCACGGTGTACAAGGTGGATATAGTGCTGACAATTCGGAAGGCTGAGCGCTAGCATGCGCAGTTCGTGTGTTTTCTTAACTTCCTTGACTAACCCAACCCGTCTTCCCCCCCTCTCCGAGGTGGAGATATCTTCTTCATCGGTCTATGCAGTATAGTCTGGCCTTTCTTCACAGGCAGGCACCATGATGGCAATGCTGATACCATGAAACAACAGGGTGTCCGCAGCAGACGGCACCCTCGTCAACGTCTAGAAGTCTTCAGTCGGCAGTGGTGTCCTGACACCATGTACAACCCAACGCATTCCTCTCTATAATAAGCTGAAACGTCTGAGAAAAACAAAGTGCCCACCGGCCCAAGGGCATTGTATTGCTGACGTTTCGGAGAGCTTGGCCGGCTCTCCATTATCAAAGCGGGTAGTGCAAAAATCTATCAGAATTTTGAATGGACAGCCGAATTAGTTGGTCTTGAGCTGATCGATCTTTTTCTTCTTTCGCTGCCTTGGCCTACTGGCCGTCGTTTCTGAGTGCTGGTGGCCTCCTGTGTTGTGTGTCGTCACCCCAATTGGGCTTAGTTGCGTTTGTGTCCCCCTTTTGGGTGAATTGGTCGACGGGTCGTGCTTTCTCGGGATTAATGTCTTGTCCTGGTAATGGCGTATGCAGTGACGTAGGACTTTATAGACCGCAGGTAGGCCTAGATGCCTGTTGACGGAGTTGGCATCTGAGTACCAAGCCTCAAGTGTGAGACGTTCTGTCCTTGAGGTGCCCTAGGCTAAGAAGGTTGCTCCTTGAAAGTCAAAATTGTGGCCAGCTTTTCCGATGTGAGTCGCAAGCTGTGAGTTTGGGTCTAGTCTCCGAGTTGCCAATTTGTGCTCATGAAGGCGGGTCTGCAGTTTCCGTCCGGTTTCCTCAACGTAGTTGCAGTCTCCATCGTTACAACGTATTTGATAGACGCGGCTCGGAAGGCTGACAACTGACGGAATAACTCGGTTCTTTTTTAGGACTGAGGGTTAGGCTGCACTGGCTCCCTCTTAATGTGGCCTTTACGGCAGGCGTAGACGGACCGTTTAACTCTGTTAGTTATTGCGCCGTCGCCCATCCCTGATCGTTTTGTCATCGGAGATGTGGAGGGAGAAAACGTGGTAGATTGCGTAATTATTTGCCGTACTTACAACACAGGTACAAGATAAAAGTCCGGACACGCGTGTTTCGCCGATCTTGTGTCACTGCCTGACGCAGCTGCGAGGGCTCCGGGTTATCAGTGGGTCCCCCAGCCCTACCCGCGTGTTTTCTGGTATATGAACTTCAGTTTCATCTTGCCTTTTTGTCAGTACGATAAATAATTACACAATTCTATACTACTGGCTGCCTATTGGCGGTTTGTGAATATTACGCGGTTATTCCGCAGTAGCAGATCAATTTCGCACAAATATTTATATCAAATTTCGGACCGTGCCTGAAAAGGTTTGTCCCGAAGGATTAACTCCAAGTTCGCGCACTAATTTCCTCGGACATTAAACAAGGCAATGTGGCAGATGTTGCGCAAATTCCCTTTCTGGGCCAACTGGGTGGGAAACTGGGAAACTCGGTGGACGTCGTCGTCATCCGCAATGACAAATGAGAACTTGAATCCGACAGTCCTTTGGAAACAACACATTGACTACAATTTTTCGCAAAATTGGGACGCAGGAGACAAGCTCAAACCGAATAAACAACGCTAAGGGCGAATTACGGCGGAATTAGAAGAGTTGACGCAGCTGGTCAACTGCCGACAACGAACGCCATGTGGTCGTGGTTTGCCCGTAATGAACCGGTCAAGCCGACTGAAGACAGGTATAAGGCGCAGTGGGAAACCTAGCACAAAGCCCCAGTGGCTACAGAAAGGAGTAGTGGGACCTGATCCTCGGCCCTGAGTCGGGCGGAGTCAAGGTGCTTAGTTGGTAACCTTTCAAGCCACGACGGATAGCTCGAGAAAATTAGGCGTAAGGCCGAATTCGATATTTTTTTCCTTCGTGCCATAGTCTGAGACAAGTACATGTCGGGCCGACTTAAGATGAGTTCAATCGCCGCAGGGTCCGCGTCTACGCGTGCAACACACACGCTGGCTGTTTTGGGGAGTCAACAAGACTAATAGACAGGCAACGAGTTCGTTCTGAGAAGAGCATGACAAATCATCCCTAAAAGACTACTAAAGAAGTGCACAGGTGGGTGTTAATTAAAAAGAAAAAAACATTAACGATTCAGCCTGATCACTCAACTTCCTTCAAGACGACTACTCAAGATGCATCTTCCACAGTTAACTGTGGTTAGAATGGCTAGACTCCTAGACCCTATTCGAATGCCAGGTGAACCAGTCAAATTTCATTTTCACACATGCAAGGCATGTTATGTCAACGAGGGGATACGCAAACGATGATTTAAACGCTTGGGGCACCCGTCTGTTGCTAAAGCACGATCAGTGACCTATTGCAACCGGAAAACGCGCCAACGACATTACTACTGAAGTCTGCAGAGCACTTATTCAGGCCCAGTAGAGTATTCTTCCTTAGTGGGACATTAAGGATACAAAAGTATGCAAAAGAAAAGCAAAAGTTCGATTCACCCACCTGTTCTTCTTCGATTGGATTATAGAAGTCCAGGACGCTGTGACCGCCAAGATTCACAGTCGTGACGACGGGGTAGTACAAGGAGCCGTCATGGTGTGGCTAAATCAATCCTAGTAAGATCAGAAAACTGAAGACGACGATATACCATTATACCCTGGCCAGGTTTGTATTCATTGATGAGAACGTGGTTGGCTCGATAGGGTCCAAAGACGCCCAAGTCAGATACCCGGTCCATTAACGAGTGCAGCCACTAGGGAAAGGGTGAAGTGAGGGCAATAACGTGGTTGCTGGCAACGGGAGAAGTACCTCAGGAATTTCTTCGGCAATCATGCCTTTAACGTGCGGCGTTCCACCCCAAATCTGCAGTCGTCTATTACCAAGGCATTGCCAACGACGTTCAGGAACAGAGTAGATGTTGCGTAGGAGGTCAGCTTCCGTGTCAGCATCAATAAAGTCCGGCATATAAATGAAGGTTTTCGGTGCACTTGGGACAATGTACGACCTGACAGAGTCTGGCCACGGGATGTCATCACCAGCGCCTATAGGTTGTACGTAGCGAAGAAAAGAAAATAACCTTCTACAAGAGCCACAGGAAGGGCGAGACCTTATATGAAGGAGAGCAGTACTGCAACGGCAAGAGCAATCGGTAACCCTAACAATTCAAAAAGGGGCCAAGCGACCTTTATGCTGCGGGAAATGTGCGTTTAAAAGGACGGCAATACCAGTCACTTCAATGTGGTGAGGGCCTGGTGTGGCGGTGGATTACCCGTAGCTCCTGAATCCGAAAGTTTATTTTAAGGTTCAAGGGCTGTGAAAACCTAATCTGCATTCAGTAAAAGCACTCGGCCAACTTTCCAGACAGACAATCGTCGACTGTTACGGTTATTTACCTACTGACTCATACTTGGTACGGCTGCGATCATGCCTAATATAGCCGGCATCGAGGATGTCACAAACTGTACCTTTTTACGCGTGACGATCCGCGGCAGCAGATCTGGACAGTTCAACCTATTTCCTTCGCCAACGACGTAGACTGAATACCGAAGGTCCAAGAGCCACCTCCATGTCTTGACGAACTTTGTCGAGCTAGGTTTTAAGTTGAACCCCTCTTTGGCGCCTCCAGTGGGGTGACGGTGCCGGGTCGAGGGCAGTAACACTGAGTTCCTGGAGTGGACGACGAAGAACAAGCCCAGACTGCCTGGTCGTCTTTCTTGGATGGCCTGGGTTATCCTTGTGTTGTCGCGGTGAGTGCGGAATGCCTCATTTGAGACGAAGTCGCGGTGTACTTCACTCGAAGGATGTTCCTCAAGCAGTGGTGGTCAAATACCACCACTTTTCGCTCGTCCTCCACACACACAGCCCCGCATTCACAACCATTGAGAAGGACAGACCGGACAAATGCACGGTACACGCGAATCTTCGTGGCGATGGAGATGTTGCGTCGGATCCATAGGCATTTTCCAGGGCTTGAGAAAACCCGTCGGGCGGCATCAATTCGAAAGACAGTGTCATCCTTACTCTGCCCATTCGGCAGCAGCCTCGCCCCGAGGTATTTAAAATCGTCAACTTCTCTAATTTGACAGCAATCAATCTCGAGAGGTGTCTTCTCCTGGTCAGGGATGCAGCTTGAAAACACTTTAGTCTTCCCAGCGTTTATGGATAAACCGACCGATTCATCGGACTTGTTCACTCGTGACACCATGGACTGCAGATAATCGAAACTTAATGCAAGGCAATATCATCAGCATAGTCGAGATCACTCAGTCGGTGTCCGGGCGCAAACTCAACACCGTCACCTTCGTATAGGGCCCTCCCGAGGATCCAGTCAATAACGTAGTTGAGCAGAATGGGCGACAGAATACAACCCTGTCGAACGCCAGACCGAGTACCAAACGGTTGGGAAAATATTGTTGCGGACCAGGACTCGCTCAATGGTAGAGCGGTGGTAAGAGGCCTTGATCATGGCCACAGGAACTCACGATGGACGGAACGCGGCGGCAAAGTCAACAAAGCAGACGGCCGTCGGTTGCTGGTAGCTGCAGCGGAATCCGAGAATACGCCTCAGTGTGAATTCCTAGTCCGCACATCCACGTCCGGCACGGAATCCGGCTTGATTCGGCCTCGTCCTAGAGTCACACACAGTCTGGAGTCATCCGAGAATGACAATAGCGAAGATCTGCGCAGCGACGTCGATGAGGCTTATGCCACGGCAGTTCTCACTGTATTTCGTTTTATCTCCCTTCTTAGAGATAGGTAAAAGGATGCCTAAGCCCTAGACATCCGGAGCAAACTCGTTTCTCCACGCTTGTTTAATCACCTTATGAAGCCAGGGCGTCGGGTGGGGACACAAGACCTGTGGATTTTAGAAGGTGTACCGTCCTCTCTGGGTGCGTTTTTGCTGCGTAGCCTTTGCACAGCGTCAGTGACCTCCTTCAGAGGGGAGGGGGGTCGCTTGACACCGCATAGTTTGGAGAGGGAGTGGGCTCCGATGAAGAGGAAAGCAAGGGCGTGGTGGGTTGTGCATCAAAGTTGAGATGGTGCTCGAAGTGTTCACGCCAGTCCTCGACTCTGGCCGAGTTGCCACCCAGTGCATTGGGCTTACCACTGACAAGGCGGATAAGTTGGTAGAGTTTTCGAGTGTCAACAACGTTTGGAGCCTGCTCCATGAAGGCTGTTATTTCAGCCTAATGTTTTTTCCGGTCATCCCTGACCGACTTTGCCGTCATCTTCTGGAATTGCGGAAGGAATCGTTATTACGGGACCTAGCTCGAGCCGTCTGACTAGTCAACTGCAGTTGATCCAGTTGCGTCACTGGGTATATCCAAGAATCTTCTCCGCTGACGTTTTCAGTGATGACCACTGGTTACTGACTTTCCGTTGGCTCGGGTCATAAAACAGGATCAAATTTCCCTGCTCAAGTCTCGACAGTGCTGGATTGTCGGATTTTTGCGACATCGAGGCGTCCAGGGCATGGTATTTTGCGCGCAGATGAGAGATGAACTTTCAATCGCGTACGGACGAAGACATAGTCCGACCTATAGGTGTTACCAGTCTCGGCACCACGCATCGATCTGCTATCGTGAACCCAGCTGCGGAAGCTTGAACTGACTAAAATACACTGAATCTGACTGGCCGTATGGCCGTCGTCTGAATAGGTCACCAGATGTTTGTTGCGATGCTGGAGGCACACGTTGGTGACAAACAGGCGGTTCTGATCAGCAATATTCAGCAATCTTTCGCTATTTTGACATCGAGAACCAAGCCTGAAGCGGCCAATAAGATGACTCTTTGTAGGGTCGTCGGGTCTAGTTCAGTCATTCCAGTTCTGGCAACAATAATCAGATCGCGACATGGGGGCCTTTAACTAACGGTTGCAGCTGCGAGTATGACACCTCTTTATCGCGCTGTTCGGTAGCTGAAGTTGGTGTGTACAAAGAAACGATAGAAATGTTCGTGAATTGACCCTTTAATCGCACGTAGGCCATCCGGTCATTGACTGATTGTCAGGTATGTAAAGCATGGTTCGCTTGTTGCGAGTGGGGGATCGTCATACAGTGTCTACCATAAGAGTCGCGTGGGCCGCTATTGTACCGGATTAAGTATGAGTTGATTCCCGACATCATAATTTCCCGAGAGCCTGAGTCAGGAAGTCGGACCTCAGACAGACAGCAGACATCCCCATTGTACTGATGGAGGCTGCAGACGGTCTGACTTTATGTAACGAAGCCCAGGAACGTTCGCACATTCCAGTATCCAGTACCAAGAGTCCGTTCCCGATTGATTGGCCCAGCTTGCATACTATTCGCCCGCACCACTGGACCAGGGTTGCGGAGCGCGTCGATTCCTGCGGACGTCGCAGCATGGGTCGTAATACTGTGGCCAGACATATTTTATGAGGTTTCTTGGGATTTTATATGCAGGCGGGTCCCCAACATCTGGTCGGATTATTTGTTCGAAGTTGTTTCCTCATTGGTTTACAAAAGGATGCAAGAAAGTATTTGCGCGCGCACGCATCCTGGAGTTGTTAAGAATAGGTGAGCGATGTCTGGGGTGTCTTTCGTTGAACAGTTTACCAAACCAGGCCAGTAAGTCAATACGGGACAAAACGGACTTTAGAAAGATCAAGCATGGCTACCGAACATGGACTTCGGCAATAAACTGGTAGACTGGAAATTGTGTGCGCCAAAGATATCAATCTTCCCTTTATGACTCGACGGTCGAAACCTTACTGCATAAAACGAGTATTTGACGCTATTTTTGATGGCAAAATAGCTCCGTATTTAAGTCAGTTCGAAGGAAAGGAAACGAAAGCCCTTGTGAATCGAAATTACCCTGATAGCATTTATTCGCCCAACGCTAGGCATTTGCTAGCCCATTTGATTTGCGGATTAGTGTAGGGCTGGTAACCTAACTGGCTGGCGGTGCTTGATCAGTGCGAGGAA